GTCGCACAGGTTGAAGATGCCTTCCTTAGTGTCGTACAAGAGTGTCAACAATGACCTATCCACAGTGAAAGTTCCCCAAAGTAGACCATGAGCGAAAGAGCCAGTTTCTTATATCACCATCTATCCTACAGAGCATACTCGGCCAGTGTGAGTAGTGAAAGGTGGAGGTTTAGGTGCTGCTGGGTGACCATTAAACATGTGGCTGCTGCTAGCTTGTTTCTTGGCAGAAGCTTGCTTTGACTTGTCGCTTTGAAGTTGGTGGACATGAGTACCAGTGGAAGTCAAGGTACGGGCTGCAACAGCTGCTTTGGCATTGATGACCTTGAGATTGGCAGGGCGGGGTTGAGAAGCTTGGGTGGGTGCCTGCTGGGGGGGAGAAGGAACCTTTTTGTTTTCACCTGTCGCTACCCGACCCGTCGCAGACTAACCAAAGAAATATGTGTCAATCTCTTCGGAGTGACACCATAGCCTCCCTATAAGACGTCTCGACTGTCTAGAGGCGTCTAGCAGAGCCTGACCGATGCAAGTCCCCACTTCCGGACACCTTTAGCACCCACAGACACGTCGGTCAGCGCATAGACCCGTCTGGCAGACCACTACACACCTCTCTGACTCCTCCTTGACCAGACCCGTCTGGCAGACACTGGCGGACCCACTACACTACACTTTTTTTTGCCAAGTTTTTACACATATGTACCTCCTTAGACGCATCTGGGGGCCCTACCTCACCCTCTTCACATTTACGCAACTCCTGAAGATCACCATCATTCAACATCAAATACACTTTGACCAACCATCACCTGTTGTTTACCCAGTCACTCCTCTTTTTCACCCCAATCAATCTCGATCCAATGTCATCAGAAGCCTTCACTCCTCATTGATATATACTCAACACTTGCATTTGTGATCAATTGGACCGTTCAAATTGAAGGTATTGAAAATTATCGGTAGTGAAAGATCCAACGACAACAGAAGGCTTCACCCCTCATTGAACACATCATATTCAAAACTCTCATATAACATCTAAAATCTATTGGCTCATTCAAACTGATAGAAATTGGAAATGAACTATTTTTTACAGATTTACAACAACTCTCAGCTAAGGTAGTATATTCAAGTCTTTACGAGTTCATTACAAAATCATCAAAATCTTCATCATCACCAGTGTCAATCAAATGTATGTCATGTAGAGCCAGAAGCTGATCCATGTCATCTTCTTCATCTTCTCCCAACATTAGATTCTGCTCAATGATCTCCAGCTCGTCAAGACCCAAGGCTTCAACACATTTTGCCTGTACAATTCATTCCCACACAACCTTTCCTCTTGAGACGAGCCCTTCCCAGCATCTGATCAAGCCCATGGTTTCCGCCGCGGACGATTTAGTGTATCGAACGGTTGAAGAAAGTAGTTTCACCATATTGGAGTTCCACGCCATCTACCTACGACAGTAAGCCTGCCACAGATTACTGTGAGCCGTCTTCAACACCTCAATACTTACCTCCCACACATCTTTTGAGATACGCTGTCCAGATTGAACCATCTCAATCAGTGCTTTCCCGTCATTCGCAGAAGTCCAATCTAGATTTGTATGTATCAGTTCTGATCCATTCAATAGCTTCCATGAGAAGGTCCTTTACTGACCACTGCTACATTTAACACCAAGATCATGTAGCTTCTTCTCGGTTTTCACCGCTGCTGAAACCATCTGACGGATTTCCCGGCCGATTCAACGAAGCTCCTCCGATGAGCTTTGATGCTTCAAGTATGCCTGGATCCCTTTGATTGTTCCTTGATCTACCGCCCACCTCTCCAATGGATGTGACAAAGATCCTACGTTCCAAAAGATGTCTTCAAATGGCAGCCCTTTTGCAACATCTAATGTCGGACATGGTAGATTATTCAGGGGGGCTAATTTATTGTAATTAGTAACTTGTAGTTTATAAGAGTCCCATTTCCTCTTAAACAACAGTTGTTTCTTTCTCATGAAATCTTTCAGGCTTTGCTGAATTTTTGTACCTACATACATAATGTCAAGTCAGCAACAAACTTATTGTTAATGAAAAAAACCATTGATATCAAGTTGACTCACCCTGACCATGTTTGTCCCATCGTTTCTGTGCTACTACAATCCCGACCTTAGCTTCGTACAATTTCATCTTTGCGAGCCTGACACGAATGAGAGCCTTAGCCTTTGGGCCTTCATCATGACATTGCTACGTTCAACTCAAATATCCTAATTGCACACAGTGAAGTTGTGGAAACACTCACTAGTTTTTTGTTGAAGATTTCGGAACTCCTTGCTGCCTAGCTGCTCAACCACCCTTCCAATTGCCGTCTCAAAGGCCACTATCGAGGTTGGCAAGGTCATCAGTGCTTCTTTCTCAGCATCTGTCTGGTTGCGTCTTTGTTTTTTACGTAGTCGGTCAAGTTGAGAACTACACACGGATTTGAGTACATTTCTGTATTTGTAGCTATTTTGAGCATGATGAAGCAAACACACAGTGAATCTCTCAACTTTCCTTCCAAGTCAAGTAAGTTGATCAAATGCTCCTCTAGATCCTTCTTGGCACCATCTGCCATCGCAGCTAATTGACATTCTTTCTGTCGCTCCCATTGTTTTGCAAAATACTCCATTGTGTACTCAGGGTTCTCAGCTTGTAGTTGCTGTAGCACCTTGCTGGCTTCATCAAACATTGTCTCAGCCGTACGTAGTTTTGCAGAAGCTGATCGACCTGATCAACAAAACTTGCAACATTGGTCAATATCAACTAGATTTACTTGAAGTATGTTCTAAAGACCCGTACCTGCATTGATGGCTAAGATCTCGTTTCAATGAGTTGTCTTAAAATGGATACTATTGAGTCGATGTTGTTTTGTCGTGTAGCGGTTTGGGCTAACCAAAGAAGACAAATCACTCCAGTTTCTTTCCAACCCTTTGCCATCCAAAAGCCCCCAACCAATGTTCAACCTTGGATTATATTGAAGCTGGCATGACCATTGGTGCACATACGCATGGAATGCACTTGTGCCGAATTTCAATCCACGCCTTTGACATTCATCCTGGAATAGTTTGTTCTAGATGTATTCATTCTCAGCTGATTAGGTAAATGCACACATAAATGAATCAACAAAAGCAACAAACCTTCATTATACTTTTCTCTAATGTGCAGCCTATGTCGTACAATACCCCTACCCTTTTTTTTGGCTTATCAGATTCATAAATTCTTTCAAATAGTTGGTCAATCATGGCCAGGACATAACACTGTCTGAAAATGTAACAATTCCTGAGATTGATTTGTGAGAAGAACTCCTTGAGCTTCCTCACCTTTCGCCCGTTTGAACAACATTCACATACGAAAGGATGTGATCATGCCGACAGGCCATTCCAATGAGGCCTGTCTCATCACATCCTTTCCACGTAGCAGCCCCGCGATGATCCGCTGCAGCAGTGTGCTGAGCACTGCAAGGGTCCTGGTAGAAAACATCAAATCTGTCAAGATAAGTAGATGTCTATTGGTTATCAAATCTACATACTGATTGAACAGCGTCTTGGTTTTTCTTAACTCCTCCAGGTTCCCATTTGACTACCTCTTCTGGATCGATGAAAAGAGAGGGTAATGCAACCTTTTTCTCTTTGTATTCTTGGCTTGCAGCTTTCACTACACCAAATTGCAAATTTACCGTGGAGTTTAGAAAATTGAGTAGACATAGAAAATTATAGAGACGCTGGCAAGGGTCAGAAAAATATGGAAAAATAATGGGAGGACCCTTTGATGCATTCCGATTGTCTGGCATATTTTTTCATATTTTTAAAACCACAATGCATATAACAATACAGAAAATATAATATCTTCTGGGCAGAAAATATAATAACTAACACACAAAGATATTGAGTAGTCTGGGAGAGAGACAAAAATATACAAAAATTTGAATATTGTTCCTATGATTGAGAGCTTTGATTTGAGTATTTTTTTGTATTTTTAGTGTGAAAATTATTGATTGGACTAACAAAAAACCTCCAAGATTCTCAGATTACAACCTGTAACAGAGATTGGAATTTGGCTAAGGGGTGACAAGGGGAAATCTGGAATTCTATATCAAATTCTATATCCCTCATATCTTTTGCAATTCTGGGCCAAAACACTTCATAATTAGTTCATTAGGAAGCCATGGAATGCATTTGAATGTTAAGTTAACACATCAAATCTGTAGCTCCGCTACAAAAAAAGCTATTTGTCTTTGAAACAATTTGCTATATATCCACGTAGATATTCTTTGGAATTAGATGCAAGCTTTCTGTCTTGATGAAAGATTTAGTCACAGACTTTGGCTTTCCAATGAACAAAAAATTAAGTGGTTTGATCAAGAATTGACAAAGATATAAGGGATTGTTGAATTCAAACTATGCCCTTCAATCTCTGTTACAGGTTGTAATGTGACAATCCTGGAGCTTTTTTGTTAGTACAATCAACAATTTTCACACTAAAAATACAACAAAATACTCAAATCAAAGGTCACAGCCATAGGAACAATATGCATATTCTTGTGTATTTTTGTCTCTCTTCAAGACTGCTCAATATATCTGTTTGTTGGTTTTTATATTTTCTGCCCAGAAGATATTATATTTTGTGTAGTGTTATGTGCATTGTGGTTTTAAAAATATGAAAAAATATGCCAGACAATTGGAATGCATCAAAGGGCCCTCCCATTATTTTTTCATATTTTTCTGACCCTTGCCAGCTTCTCTATAATTTTCTATGTCTACTCAATTTTCTAAACTCCACGGTAAATTTGCAATTTGGCATAGTGTTTGTGTCGACGGTGCTGGAAATTGCTGTTGACACACACCACATAATGTGGCTCATCCAATTCTTTGTTATCGTATTCGTGAAGTGGTCCAAAACATCTCGGACAGTTCTTTGCCAACTGCTCAAGTGGAGTCAATTGCAAAGATTGAATTGAAAGTTCATCTTCTAATTTCAACATATATCTATAAGCATCAATGGCCAAGGAAAAGGTTTGACACCATCGTTGAGGCTAAATTCATTGTCCACATATCAGCGCTCAATCAACAATAAGGAATGAAATTGAAAAGTTACGTTGTCTGTACCAGTAGCTAGTATTAGTGGGTTACAAGCATCAAGGAACTCGTCAAGAGCAAGGACAAACCCTTGGACACGCACTGTGCAGTACTTCCACAGTGCATGGTGGAGACGAAGGAGCCGAATCGAATACGCTGTCTGAGGGTAGATTGGTGAACCACCAATGTATCCCATCCGGATTAAACGCACCTGATCCGGTGTACATTTGCAAAAAAACAACTGGTCTTGCTTTCGTTCTTTGAAACCAAGCAGTGTCATTTGTAAAATTTTTTACAGATATGATATAGCTCATGGCCTACCAAGGATGTCCACCATATCCACAGCTCGAGTTTGTGTATCTCCAACACCACACGAACACGGACTATTGTGATCAACACCCCATAAGCGAGGGTCGCCCCACTGAGAGGCCTTTCGAGCACATGACATAAATGCAATGAACATTGGATTTAAGACTTTCGCCCAATTCTTGACCTCTGTTAATTGCGTATTCTTGTAATACTCGCCGCGTATGTAGTCTCGAAATGTAACATCTACGTTAGGAGGTAAGGGATCAGCATTGGAAACGAGGATGTTTGAATGCTGATCATTAGCATCGTCTTCATCCGAGCTTGCGATGTGTCCAGGCAGTTCGAACTCGATTTTGTGATTCAGTGGTTCAGCTGGAATCTGACAAGGAGGTCCTGAAGCCAGAGCACGTTCGATTTGTCCGGTACGGTTTTGAAGAAATTGAGAATTACTTGCTTCTACCTGGGCTATGAGTTTAGCCAAACCTTCTGGAGGCCTTGCTGTGCGAGGTTTCTTGATAGGGCCCAATGGGCATGGCATCGAGCGGCCCTGTCCTTTGGGTGGCATGGTAGGAAGATTTAGATTTAAAAACTCTTGCGGTCTCAAAGAGTTTAATGGACTTCCAAAAAAGGCACCCCAACGGACCTTTCCTCTTTTGGTACCTGTTCACTCCGCACTTGTACTTTGAAGTAGAAAAATCAAATTACAATTCTAGACTAGGCCCAATTGGGATGGACCCCAGAAAAACCCGCCAAGGATGTCAAAAGCCTAGTGAACAGCAATGAAATGGTCTATGAACACCATGTAATTAGAATGGTATTCAACACCTTTAAGAATCAAAAGATTTTGCTAGGTACCACAAGCAAAATATCCAGAGTGGTCATTAGGGCAGTATGCTTGCACTGTAAGCACTCTAAACAGTTATAAGCACAAGTTTGAGGATTGTAGCGGGTATTTGAAGTTGAATATGTCCACTGAGAATTAAGTTGTGATAGTGAGAAATATGTGCAATGCAGGATAGTGTGAAATGGCAATCTGGACACCACTGTGGCTCATCTTCAAACACTTAAGGGAACTTTTTGATGTTGAGCGGAAGGAATGAACATGATATTTGAGATTGAATGGCTCTTTTCAGGATGAAGATGATGAGTTATGACAAAAAGTGATTGATGAAACTTGTTGGGCGTGCAGAGCAGCACCTAAACTCAGGGGAAACATTGAATTTGGCTCATCTTCAAACACTTAAGGGGACTTTTTGTTGTTGAGCGGGAGGAATGAACATGATATTTGAGATTGAATGGCTCTTTTCAGGATGAAGATGATGAGTTATGACAAAAAGTGATTAATGAAACTTGTTGGGCGTGCAGAGAAGCACATAAACTCATGAGGAAACTCGAAATTTTGATCATCTTGTATCGTTTCAGGTTGAATTTGGGCTCATATAGGTGTCCAAAGACATGTTGAGTGTTTTGTGAGAATGCACACAACCTTGATTTCTAAGATCTGATAGATATTTGCGCACAAAGTCAACCTGAAAGTAGACAAGATGGTCCAACTTTCATGGTTACTCCTGAGTGTATGTGATTCTCTGCACGCCCAACAAGTTTCATCAATCACTTTTTGTCATAACTCATCATCTTCATCCTGAAAAGAGCCATTCAATCTCAAATATCATGTTCATTCCTTCCGCTCAACACCAAAAAGTTCCCTTAAGTGTTTGAAGATGAGCCAAATTCAATGTTTGCCCCTGAGTTTAGGTGCTGCTCTAGACGCCCAACAAGTTTTATCAATCACTTTTTGTCATAACTCATCATCTTCATCCTGAAAAGAGCCATTCAATCTCAAATATCATGTTCATTCCTTTGGCTCAACACCAAAAAGTTCCCTTAAGTGTTTGAAGATGAGCCAAATTCAATGTTTCCCCCTGATTTTAGGTGCTGCTCTGCACGCCCAACAAGTTTCATTAATCACTTCTTTGTCATAACTCATCATCTTCATCCTGAAAAGAGCCATTCAATCTCAAATATCATGTTCATTCCTTCCGCTCAACAACAAAAAGTTCCCTTAAGTGTTTGAAGATGAGCCAAATTCAATTTTTGCTCCTCAGTTTAAGTGCTGCTCTGCACGCCCAACAAGTTTCATCAATCACCTTTTGTCATAACTCATCATCTTCATCCTGAAAAGAGCCATTCAATCTCAAATATCATGTTCATTCCTTCCGCTCAACAACAAAAAGTTCCCTTAAGTGTTTGAAGATGAGCCACAGTGGTGTCCAGACTGCCATTTCACACTATCCTGCATTGCACATATTTCTCACTATCACAACTTAATTCTCAGTGGACATATTCAACTTCAAATACCCGCTACAATCCTCAAACTTGTACTTAAAAGTTTGTTGATTGATCAATCCAATAGATTAACATTCCACTTAGTCTCACCAGTTTTTATCAGGCAAACAAACAGTCAAATGCTCTCAAAAAGACTTAGCAACACCACAATTAAGCAGATCACAGTCTTTGAATCACCTATTTCTGAAGTTCAGTGTGCAGAAAATGCGCAAGATGCTTCCCTGACCACAAGCCATTTCATTTAGGTAAAATGATGTAATTATGTGGAATTCATTCAAATATCAAAAATTTCTAAATACTTATCCATCAGTGAATGAGACATCAATCTCAATAAAAACAACTGTGTCCCTTTCCAATGGACTCATGACTTGAGAATATTATTCAAAGACGTGTGACTTTCACGTACATACTTGCTTACACATACACACCTTACAAATAAAGAGGTTTTGTACTGGTCAGACGTATTATCAGAGACCATTTTAAGTATTCTTCTGAAATGTGTGACTTTACTTTTTGGTACACTGACATTTGAATACATCCACCGCACCTTGAGTCTTAGGAATGAAGATGTCCTGTACTGGCTTCAAAAACCTGTCAAAAACGTATTCTTTTTGTAAATCAAAGACCTCTTGGATCAATTTTAAATTGATTGGTTCGTTTGGGACCGTACTTTATTGTATAAGAGACATGGTATGAGGCCGGGGCTAAAATTGGTAAGTAAATCTACCATCTGGAACCTCGTCTTATTTCGTTTCTCACCCTTTCTCACCCTTTCTCACCCTATCTCACCCTTTACCCTACTCTCTTTCACTCGGTCGGTCACATCAGCAATACAAATTCAAGAATTCAAGCAACCCCATCACACATTATTACCTTCAATCGATACATACCTTAATCAACAACACTCAAATGGCCCGACAAACTCGATCTGGTGCACAACATCCATCTCCACCACCTCCTGATAGTCGTCCCTCAGGAACCTCATCCGACTCAGAAACTGACCAATGTGTCACAAGAACTACTAACAAACGTAAAAAATCAGCAAAATCATCCAACTCAAAATCAGGAACCAAAAGCAAATCGAAGCGTACACGACAAGCAGCAGTAACTGACGAACCCGATCCTATCAACACGCAGAACGACTATGACTTGAGTGATCATCACAATGACAACAACCTTTCCAACACTGTGATGGACGCTGCTGACGACGACGACAATGACTTTTTACTTCCCCCGTCAATAACTCGTCCCATTCACAATCAAAGTAACAGTTCAAATAACTCTAATCCACCGGCTACACACAACAACGGGTCAACCCTATTAGACTCAGATACCATTTTACCGACCATTGATAATTATAAGCAATCCCTCAATCAGTGGCCTGAGTATCAAATCTCATCTCATATGCGTGGGCGGAGGACTGGGAATGTGGTTCCACCGAAGATTTTTGACGAGCTTGTTGCTATTCAGAAGATTTATCGCCATCACAAGGCCTTGTTGGCAATGATGGGAAATGTTTCTCTATATACACTCAATAAGTCAATGTAAGTGAAGGTTCTTCACATATCGATGCAAAGTACAACTGATATCTAATATGTCTTATGGCTTATGCTTGATGTATAGTGGTGAGATAGGTGGTAAGCCAGGCCAAGATGACTATCATCTCTGGATGTCATATGCAAACGAAAAAAGCAAACACAGAAGTAAGTTGAAACCAATCTATGTAAAATACTGTAAATTGCACTGAGGAGCTATTTACCCACCCAATGATGATCACAGTGCCTAATAGAGGACAGAAAGGTGTCTTAGGTCAACGGAATAAAGATGTGGGGGCAGCATGGACAGCACTCCCTGAAGAACGTCGGCGAGTATTTGACCCTCAGATCTTTTATACTTTGTCTGGACTCCCTAAGCCTATAAACAATGATGACGGTGATGAGGAAGGAGAAGAAATTGTGCTTCAGCCTGAGGAACTAGTAGAACTACAGGCCTTATATGATGAGATGGTATGTAAAGACAAGGTTGCAATGGTATATGCAAAAGTTGCTGCTGGGCTACCACAAGGGCCTCCGCTCCCGGAATTTAATCGCAAGTCCCTCAAATGTGTGGAACAACTTCACAAGCAGGTTGGTTTATCTTTTTTTATCGTTCAAGACTATCATCTTGACTGACTGATGTGGTATCCACTTTTGTTTTTGGATCTTTTGTTTTTAGATCAAAAACGAGTCCAATCGAATGCAGTTTGCGTATTATCTCATCGCATCAACTATTCATGCAGCTACTGAGGGGAAAAAGTCTGAGCCTGGATGGTGCCGGGAATATACGTCTAACAAAGATATGGCCGATTATCTTGACAGGAAGGCTAATTTCGCCACAATCTTTGCCACTCATATTCAAGGCCTTGCAGTCAATGAAGCTGTTGCAAGCCAAATCGGTGGGAAATCGACTTCGACAAAGCAAGCCTCACCTGGCGATATCTTGAAAGGAAAACTAGCTGGCAAGCTGCGTTCTGAAATAGGTAAGTCGCCTTTTGCTTTCATCCATTAGATGAGATAAGATAGACTGATGCACATTCACCAGATACATTATTGAAAATTAAATGTAATGGCTTTCCTCGCGGTCCCGATCCGGTCAGTCTTTTACCAAAGAAGTATCCAAAGCTAGAACTTGTCCAGCTTCCTGGGTCAGCCCTTACAAGTGACCTATTGAAGTTAGGCTTCGACAAAATGCCTACTAGCACTCGCCAGCTTTGGCTCGATGACTTGAATAAAGGTTTTTTCAAGCTCAAGCTCAAAAGTGCGCCTGATGTTACAGAGGACACTGAAACACTACAAGACAACAGTCATCTTGAAGAAGCTAATCACCCCAAATCGCCAACACCAAATGCTCAAAATGAGTGTGATGATGAAGATGTTGAAGAGGAAGAGGAGTGGGGAGGAATTGATATGTCCTCTATGGTGCCTTTCTGAGTCACGAGATAATTTCTGAATCTTTTTGGTTTTGTCCAGAGTTATCATCCTTTTCTAATAGTATCAAATCAATTTTTGTTGTGATACTAGAAGCAAACCCTGAGTGTCTTCTTGATGTATTTTTCTGACCTTTTCAATCTCGTTATAGGGTGTGGAGCAGCTGTATTTTCTTGGATTTCAGAAAGCTTTTTATATTGAATTTTTGCTGGGTTTTGCTGAAACAAACAAGTCGAATTCCTCTACGTGTTCTATCTGATGTTCAGTTTATTTTGTCTAGGTTTTGGTCTCAAAGTTTCCTCTACATTTGATAAATCAAGTTTACCTCGATCGAGAGGATCGAGTCAGAGTTGCTCTTTTAATTCAAGTTTACTATTTACCTCAATCGATTCAAAGTTCTCTCTACATTTGATCAATCAAGTTTACCTCAATCGAGTCAAAGTTGTTCTTTACTTTTGAGTTTACTGCTTACCTCGATCGAGTCAAAGTTTTTCTTTTAATTTGAGTTTACTGTTTACCTCAACCTCAATTGAGTCATCCTGACGAGTTAAGAAGTTAAGAGGAGTTAAGCCCAGGTTTCTCATTTATACTGCAATCAAGTCGCCCAGACTCGGTTGAAACACATTTGATGGTCAACAAAAAACTTAATGTTGTAAAAAACTAATGGAATGGATATCTCTTCTTGTGTTGTAATTAATACACACAAGCAGACAGAAGTATGCAAAATCAAATAAGAAACAGTGTTATCGGTTTATAAAGTGTGACAATGTGAGGCTGAGAGGTGAGGTGAGGAGGGCCAAGGCATCTTGTTTTTGTTTGATTTGGATGTTGGTACAGTGTTGTTCAATAGCTAGCGGTTGAACATATCTGTATCTGTAGGTAGCACGAGTGATCTGTTTGGTGATCTAAACTCATGAAGGTTCTCTGAGATTGGGTGTAAGGACCATGTGAAGTGGAACTTGGTGAAAAAAAAATGTGCCAGACAGGTCTGGTCAAGGAGGAGTCAGAGAGGTGTGTAGTGGTCTGCCATGGGCTGACAGACGTGTCTGTGGGTGCTAGACGTGTCTGGAAGTGGGGACTTGCATCAGTCAGGCTCTGCTAGACGCGTCTAGACAGTCGAGACGTCTTATAGGGAGGCTACGGTGTCACTCCAAAGAGACTGACACATATATCTTTGGTTAGTCTGCGACGGGTCGGGTAGCCACAGGTGTTTGTTTTGGTCCGCATTGATGTTTTCAAGGCAGGTTCCACATATTTTGTGTTTGCCTTGAAGGAGAGTACTTTGACATAAGGGACAAGTAGGTCGGTTTATGATGGTGAAATATGAATCTCTGAGAAACCAAAGTCAAAGAAGATCATACAATTTAAGAGCAAACCCAGTTTGCCCAAAACTAGGCAAAATTTGGACAAAACCTGGTTTAAACCCTTTTTTGCACCCTTGCCCCCCTTAGCCGATGCAATCATAAGTTGATCCTATCTCACAATTCTTTCTCCCTCATTTGCTTTTTTTTCCTGCCTGTTCAAATCCAGTTCTCCATCGCCAATGCTTTGCTCAACTCAAAACTCATCCACTCCAAGATCTACTTGATCTGATCCTTTTTAAACCTGTAAGACTTTGGAGATTATCTCATCCACCTTCCCAACCATTGATCTTAACTCACAACCTTCAAGATTTCTCAAGACTTTTACCCAAGCAAATCAATCCTGAATCAGATCAAATCAACCTGAATGAGGCCCTTTTAACCGTTCCAGAAATTAATTTAGTCATTTAGCAACCAACACATGATGGTAATTGGTCATACATCAAGTCTGATCAATCTCGAACCAAGATTATACAAGAGCTTTTCACATTTTTGTTAGATTTTTTACCTGAACATCGTAATAGGGTTCTTAAGAAACTCTTTGATGCAATATTAAATATTTGGCTCTTTGAACAATACATCACTCTTTCTGACCCTACAACTCCTCCTACCCATCATCTCTACCTTGATCAGGTGGCCAATTGCCCAGAATCCTCACTCCAACATACCAAAATTGTGCTTTGAATTCTACGAGAGAAATCAGAGGTAATTTAGAAAATATATACCAAAGTGTCTTGATCAGTTGACTGAAGTAGCAAAACAGAGTGTAACTTGAACTCGATTTTTAGATTGATTATTGGACAACAACTATAGCTTTTATTGAATTTTATCAACTACACTCTTTGGTCACAATTGTGGAGCAAGTTAGGATCCTGTTCAATTTCAGAATTCAACGTCAAGCAACTAACATGAAAAACATTGAAACCAATCTGAATAGGAAATCAGGTCACTTTTAATTGGAAGAAGTTGTTTACATCTCTCAAGTTTGGTAAAATCAAAATGGCCAACTTTGTGGTGAGTGCGATCAGCACTCACACTCATTACTTCAATTCAACAAAAGCCAGTGTTTTTTTCCCGCGTATATGCAAACAAACAAGTCTGATGAAGAAACTCCTTTGTGTTATTCAATCACAGTTTGTCATTCAGAAACTTCAAGTGCAAACCCGTCAGGTAAAACCAAATCAATACATGGACCGTGGTACCAAACACTACACCAAATGTAATCTTTACCGGGCGGTAAAGAAACCTACTGACATAGAAAAGTCCTGAGGCAACAGAAAGAGAGCTAAAAATCTGAAAAAATATGCACCTTGTTCCTAGATGTTGGGGCGTCAAGATGAGTATTTTTTTGTATTTTACACACGGATATTGGTTAATGTACTAACAATAAAGGCTGAGAATCATCAAAACCCACCTGTAACAATACCTGAAATTTGGCCCTTGATTTTGAAGACAGGATTTTGGAATCTTCAAACATCAATAACTTTTCAAGTTCTGAATCAAATCACTCGATTTGAAGTGCATTGAAAAGGTGAGTCTTTCCTCTACATTTTTCATTCAGACATCACATCTGTAGCTGTTCTAAAAAAGATCCTACAGAGCTATTCATGCAGAACTGTTTGAACATATGTAGAGTGTTTAAATGACTAGATAGAACCTTGCTAACATACGGAATGCGACATGTGTCAAAGTGACAACTTGAAATTTCAAAAATCAAAATTTCGGAATCCCCGGGTCAGAAACTGACAAAACTGGATCAAACACCAGATTCAACTCAAATACTGGTCTGAAACCCCCTGTATTTGGGATGAAACCATACTTTCTGCCAGTTTTTAGCGGTTTCCAAACCACAACCCCAAATTTGACCGCTGAGTTGGCACTTTGGCACAAATAATACACAAAAATTTCAAAGATCAAGTTTCAACATTACAAAATTCACATACTTACAAAACGACCAAACACAAAAGTGATTCTTTACCACAAGTCAACTGTAACTGTAAATTCACATCAATTTAAATCTACTGCTATCATTGCTTCCATCGCTTCCAAGCCAACCATAGAAAATCTGCAAAAATCAAAAGCTACCGCTGTCATCACTATCACACCGCGGGAATCAATAAGTCCAAACCCCGATTGAGCGAAATTGCGGTGTCTGAGTCCGCAATTCTGCTCAATCGCGGATCTAGTTCACAACTTGTTCACATTACATTCACAAGTTTCCCTTCAGCTGTAAATGGCTTGGGTCAACTGGTCACCCTTCAACCTTTTAAGTTCTCAAACCTGAGTCTACTCACTATGTTTACAGATTCCTCAGTCGTCAAATCTGGATTTGCTAAAGTAAACATTCTTGAGGCTACGTCTTTGCTCTGAAAGGGGCCTTTGTACATGTATGCCGTGTGTATATGTTTACATAGGCTTGGCTGGGGAACTCGAGGAAAGCTTGTGAACGTAATGCGAACGAGTTGTGAACTAGATCCACGATTGAGTGGAATTGCGGACTCGGACACCGCAATTTTGCTCAATCGGGTTTTGAACTTATTAATTCCCGCAGTGTCATCTGTCACCTCATTCTCTGCACAAGTACCTGTGAAGCAGACAAGGACAAGCATTCACCTTGAGGTTCAATTGCAAAAACAAAAATTTCTGCCTACTGACTTTCCTTCTGTACTTGTGTTTGCCAGCTTGCCTGGTTGACCGGAATAACTTATCACCTTCTAACCCATTTTCATTTTACTTTTTACGTTAAAAATGGAAACAACCAAACAAATCTACCCAGCTCAAAAACTTTTTGGTTATACTTTAAAAAACTCTACTTGTAGTCATTTCCTTTAGCTTTACCACAGTCATCAAACAGTCACTTTTCCTTCCATTTGTTATCTTGCTCTTTTTCCTTGGGATACCACAGATTGTTTAACCATAAGTTATTCAAATGAAGCTCCTTAAGTTCCTTATAATCTTTTGATAAAGTTCTATCTTATCAAACCAACACTAAAGTGTCACTCAAAGATTTTAGATGTTAGTACATGTTTACCTAGCCGGATTAATAAGTGACTGCACTTACTGATACACTGACAGAGGTTCTTCCTCCGCACTGTAGACAACTACAAGTAACAATTGTAGGTTCAAACAGTTTACCTTACAAAGAATTGAAAACTAATTCCTCACTAGTCTAGAAATCACCTTTCAAACTTTAAGAAATACATTTTGTACGCATATTTCACCTCTAATGTTTAGTCTAGAGCTGACAGTTTCTCTTGTGTGAATTCTCACAGCTTCACAATTTGTGTCATGTAACTTCTTTTTCTTCTCCTGTTTACACTTAGCATCTCTAGCTGCTTTATGTGCAGCCCGCTTTACAGCTTCCTTGTTCTCCTTGACATCAGATTGCTGCCTAGCCATTGGTTCAATAGAAGTAAAAAGTTAGTATTGATCAGGGTTACCTTGCTTGGAGAGATATAACATCTCAACCCAGAAACCTGGCTGCAGGAAGAATAAAACAAAGGTCAGCTCGCATGGAATGCTTCAGAATTATCACCCACATAGAATGAGGATGGAGTGGAACACCCACGACTTGGTGATATGTGAATCAAGAGGCTAGACCAGTTGTCGGGGTTCCCCTCAGTCACCTATTCTTACCCCTAA